AAAAAACTCAAGAGTGAGAGAGAGCTACGTAAATCAAGCAACCAATGTTGAAAAGTAAATTTATTTTTTCAATGACGTACGTTTGTGGTGGTTGCATAGGAGTGTGGACTTGTTGTTTAATCCTGCCAGCTCTGCTTTCTAAACGTATTAGTAAAAAGTCAATTGACTTGACACTTTTTTAATATCAAAGATGTTTCATGTTTCCTTCCTAACAAGTTTAGATGAATTAATTGTGCTATCCAAAAATTAATTTCTAACAATCAATATTGATAAAAATAATCTTTACAGCAAAATTTTATGGCATCAAAAAGATCCAAGGGCTGTCATTCATTTTTTACCATTCATCCACTTCGTCATGGACTATCTCGTACGTGCATATATAAGATGCGACAGTCTACCGTACGTGAAGATCTCGGGGAAGCATTTCATTGGCAACATTATGTGCTAATGGGTTTTGCGTGTGAAAATGCGTGTTTGAAATGATTCTGCGAAAAACCTACCTTAAATTTAGGTTATTCTGTGTGAATATGTCTTCGTAAGCTGCAAATAATAGACAACCGTACAAATGCTGTTGTCGTTTGCCTAATACACGGAGTACGCTCCAACCGCACCACAAGTCTGAACACACCATAACACATACTCAGACAGACAAACAGACAGAAGCTATTCCATTATTTGGTGTGAATTTAAGTTTTTTTTAATATAACGAGTTTTTTTTTCGCAAGTCTTGCTTTCTTCCATATTCAGAATCTCTGTAATTCGCATCTTCTTGCCTTCAAATTGGTCTCATTTCCCGTTCCGTTTTTTTCCTCTGTGTGTGCTTTGGCGACGAAAAACTAACATTTTTGCAAAAGTTATCGGCCAACACCAAAATAATGATCAAAAAACTTTTGAACATAGAAAGTTTTTCATTTTATTTTATCTCTTTGGCTTCTAGATGTGGTGCAAGTTTACAAAATTAAATAGAACTTGTTCCAACTAGAGATGTTATTAAAACTTGGATGGAAAAGGAGACATAAATTTGTGAGTTCCATTAGAAAAAAAAAGTTATTATTAGAATATTTTTATGTCTCTGCCATTTTAGGAGAGAAAAAAACTATTTCAAATGGATCTTTCAGTGTCTGATAGAATATTTAGTATGAGTGGACATTGAGGATGATATATATAATGCAATGATGCATATGTATGTATTTGGTTCATTTTATTCTTGAAATAATGGCATATAATCGTTCAACAGGGGTTTCCACTTGACCATGCAACATTTTGTAGCAATTCTTCCATATTTATGCCCCCTATCGCGCTAATGGAAACTCAAAACAATAATTGAAAATGTACATTGATTTATTTTTGTATATTTCGAATATTGTACTAAATATGTCAACAAAATAAGCATAGATTTAAAGGTCAGAAGTGTCCTTTTCATCATTAAACATAGTCACGGTGGAATGGATGTTTGTATACAATTCATACAAAAGTTGTGATAAATTTTAACCACTAAATATTATTTTTTGATCGGTTGAAGGTCGAGAAAGGTTTTTTTTTGTAACAGACAAAACCAACTTAGATGGTTGTGCTACTTCGATCATGTAAAAATGACAATCTTTAAAAGTGCGGTTGTAAGATTTAGAAGATTTTCCAAAATAATTTTAGTTTTATGTAATTCTGTGGTTCCTCTTCTATTGAGCTTACGATCTCGTCACTTGGGTAAAAAATGTATTTTGTCATAGAAGTTATTTTTAAAATAACTTCCGGGGAGTATACCCAGACAAAAAACAAGGAAACTGATGAAGATCGGTGGCTCTTTTCGAAACCTAGGTATTCCCTGCCTTACCCCCTGGTAAACATTACCATCGTTCTCCACTAATAAACAAACGTGGTTTTTATAAAAAAAAAAAAACAATTAAGCCTGACCATCTTGCAACAACGAAATACTATGGTATCCCGAACAAACAAGCCAACACTGTTCTATCTTTCAAAATTATAGGCTTCTGCCCCGTTCTAAACTTTAGTCCCATGCTACGTGTCGATTGGTCTGCAATTTTAGACATTGATCGACTATGAGTCAAGTGCAGTCCCTAAATTTATTGTTGTCTCCTAAAGCAATACACATTTATTCTGAACCTAACTCTGACTCCGTGAAATTTTTGTGAGGATCGGACCATAATTGTTACCTGTGGAGTGTTTGATAGTCTAGGACAAATAATACCCTCATAGTGGTGTAGGTCATAATAATTTTTATTACAAAATAAGAACAGAGAACATTAAATGGCAGAATTTCGAAATGCGCCAGCATATTTTTGAATGAAGCTAAAGCGTTTTTCATATTACATAACAATGACAATTAAGAAAACCTCAAAACAATTAGTCCTTATTATATAAAATCCGAGTCAATATTTCTTCCATTTAAAAATGATGCTTTTTTAATTAACATTTAAACTTAGAGGTTTGGAATCCAGAACCCAGAAAATATATAACTACAGGCCGTTTGAACTCAATTACCTGATATCTGCATCGGAAAAATTTTGGGAAAATGCACATATGAATGACATCTTATTTACCAGCTCTGGGTGACCATTTTAACCGATCATTTTTATGTCGGTATTAAAATAATTTTTTTCGCGTTGAATTTCTTTGCTGGGTACTTGCAGCTTCTTGCTTATCAAGATTCCTATGACACGCATTGTTATTGTTTTGAAATGTGGTGTTATGAAAAGGTTTTGAATTTCTAGTTGATTTGGAGCGACTAGACGAAACAGAATACATTTAATGGAGCAATATTTTCTCATATGCCCACACACACAGATACATACATGTATTTTCTGTTGTTACTGTGAACGACGACGACGACGATTGTGCTATTACTAACATTATTTATACTCAATTTCCCGTTCAAGGTATTATTCAATAAAATGCAAACTACTTTTCAGCCACTTCTAGGGATTCCCTTCGATTCGGTTGCAGTTGCTGTTGATTTACACACACACACATGTATGTACATATATAACAGCGAATGTCATACCACGCCAATCAACTGGGCACCTCGCTCGGATGCTCGCCGATGTAACCGACACCTAATTAAACATGCAGACACTGTGACAATGTACTCTGCGAATTGTTGCTGCTGCTGTTGTTGTTGTTCTTGTTTTCTATACTTTACAAGATACTGAGCTGAGTATGTAATTACATTTGGCTTTTGAGGTTTAGCAACAATTTTTTGTAACTTCTTGTCCTGGGCAGCGTTCGAACAATGGGCGTACGAACATGACTGATATTGTCGCTGATATTGATTTATAGACTTTGTCGAAATAAAACCCTTTAATGAGACATGGCAAAATCCAAACAAACACGCATGCACTCACCAACACACACACATTGGCGGTCGCCAATCACCTCAAAGCGTGAATGTGTGGAGCGAGTAGTGGCTTTATTGCTTTGTGGCCCTGCGTCACATGGGAGACATAAATTAAACACACTCTGCGGTTTTAGCCAGAGAACATGTAAATATGATTGTGTGTCAGCGGCAGTGTTGGCTGAATTGGGATTTGGGGAAGTGGGTTTTATTGAGTTTTCATGTGTAATCTGAACCTCCTTGTAATACTGTTACAATTTAAAAGAATAGGGGGATGGGGAGTGGTTGAAACCGCGGATGAGGTGACAATACAATTACTTCCTTTATTTTATTAATATCAGCCGCAAAACATATTTCTCTGTTTTCGGTTATATTGATCGAGGCTTCAATAACACGATATTGGTAGAGAGCTTCCTGTTCACAACAAAGTGTAGGGGAGCTCAATTTTAATAGTGAACAAGTTAAATAGTATCCGTCGGTTTTTGCCGACAGATGTTCCTTTATGAGAGAGGTTCCAAAGCAGTTGGGGAATATTATCCAATTCGTATCTGAACTAAGTATGATATAAATTTTATGACGTACCAGATTTGGACTATATATACTTTACATGGGATATGTGCAAATTATTGGCATGTGCAAAATTTAAAGGAAACCGATCATTTTGCGTTAGAAAAAGTGTTTGGAATTTGAAAAAGAGATGGATGCTTCTTTCGCTTTCTTGAGCGTTTCTTTTTCAAGGCAGATCTTGTGTTTGTAGAAATAATGGGATGTGTAAAATATGAAGAGAACCGGACTCTTACTTCACATTTTATAAAAGTTATAATTATTCAAAATGTTGATCCTTTTTGGGGGCAGTACCTTATGGAGTGGACCGATATTGTCAATTTTCATAAAAGACCTAGCAGCAAAATAAATAGTACGAGTTTCAAAGTTGGAGCAAAATCGGAGTATACTTTCTCTTTCTGTGCACTAAAATATTTTTTTTTTTTGAAAATTTCGACCTTTTGTTGGGGAGGTACCAGAAGGGTTCGGAGATTGGCAATATCGGTCTAATATTGCCCATCTCCGAACCCGATCTAAGTTTTGATAAAAATATTACCACGTTCCAAGCTTGGACCAAATCGGATCAGAGCCAACCAAACATCGCTAGATCGACACCAAATGTCCAGAAGACACACATTTCACATTTAGACCTTATAAGGACGAGGTGCCAGAAGTAAAAATCCCATCTTTGAACTCGATTTAAGAACGATTAAAATATTATGGCGTACAAAACGCATACACGATTCGAAAGTTATGGTTTTCCCAGGAAAGCCAGACGATTGGATTTCATCTAAGGATATATGAGGTTTTAAGCAATCATGTCGATGAGGCGCATGTTTATGGCGTCAAGTGATATATATTCTCTGTTGAAAAATTGAAGGTTTAATTGAAGATTGAGGCCATATTAAATTAATATATTTAAATCTTAATGAGAAGAAAAAAACAAGAAAGAAGCACAAGCCCAATGCACTTCATCTGATTTGAAGAGATTTGGAAATGAAAAATATATATTTACCATTACGATTTAAATTACATAATGAATTTTATTTATTTATGTTGAGAACCATTCAGTATTTATTTAATTACCCTATTTCCCTTTTTTTTGCAGGTTATAAGATGTCATAAACTGTTATCTGTTTTCCTGACAACCAAAGAAGAAAGGTAATTAGCCAATTTCCCCAAGCAAACCTAAAAATAACATCCCCTCCTACTGAGTTTTTGAAAAGAAAATGGAAAATTCCTCAAGCTGTTCATTGTCTTTATGTTCCGAAAATTTACTCAAGTCTATCATAATTTTACAAAGAAAACTAACCTAATTGAGTAACCTTCACATCTACTTTTTGAATGTCGAAATACCCCGAAGCAGGGTAAAACGTACAACAAAAGAACTTTGGAGTTGGCTGCAAACCCTCTCAACTTTGTGGCCCAACGTTGAAGCCACAAAAGCATTACCTGTTGCCCCCATTTGAATAGGGTTAATAAATTCAACTAGAAACATTGCAATGGAAAATTCCATAATTCAATTCTGCATACCTTTGTTTTGAAACAAAACGAATTCCCAGCATATTTTGGAGAACATCTACAACAGGGTTAAATACATTTTCGATGAGGTATGAGGTGAATTTTATTGTTTCATAAATTTCAAGTCTTTGTCATTGTTTTGTGCTAATTAAAATTACAGCTATTGTTATCCTTTCGACCGAACTCACTTCAAAGGAGACGGCAATTTTGTGATATTTTTAATTAAAAACCCAACGAATAAACACAAAAACGCAAGGCATTTGCCTAATAGTCATTTGTGTAAAAAATATGTTATTAAAAAATCGATTTATGCCAACAAAAATTTATTTCTTAACCATTCTCTAACATCGCAACTTGCCTCCAAAATTTATGGTTAAATGCCCTTGAATAAATTCCCACCATTTAAATTAATTGCACTTTTCCCCAAACAAACTACGAGCGAGCCCTCCCCCTGCTCCCCATTGTGGACGGCACAGTTTTAATGACATTGACGTGACCCGAGCTTTTATGAAATGCATTTTATTTATGGCAGTCGTTTGTCTTGCACGTACCAGCCATTTTAATTACGCGAGAGCTTTTCCGTTACACGAATAAGTGGGACAAATTAATCAGCGTCTAATTTGGTCAAATGATCGACCAATAATTGCTGATTGATTGTTTAATGTGCTAAATGTTTCCACCGCGGGAGGATGGGCGTAGTAGAAATTTAGTGCAAACTTATGAAGGAAGTATTGTTAATTTCATAGGGAAAATAAACCAATTATCAATGCACCTTAGGAGAGAATTGCAGAATTTATTTTAAGAGCTAAGTAGCAACGACAACAGGAACAAGTTTTATATATAAAATATTACTATTACATAAAATTATCCGATATTACATTGCAAAATTTTAGACTTACCCGACAGTGATATTCTTTAATGTTTCATTATAATCCGAAATACCTGAAATGAAAATAAAAACTTAATTAATCATTGTCCATCATAGGGATTAGAAAAAAATGGAGTTGGTGTTTTATATTCATAAAATGATTCAACACTGAAAATACTGAAAATCGCGCATTACGTTACATGGGGTCTTAACTATAACTAAACAGATCCACTACAGATTTACAGAAAATATGATTGGAAAATTCCAAAAAAAAACCTTAAACTTGGTGGTACCGTCATACAAGGTCTACACCAAAACTTGAGCTTATATGACCCATGTAAATGTTCTACGAACCTAAAAAATATGAAGGAGTTTTTAAACCCAATTATTATCAATTATTAACCAGTAATGAAAGACTAAAGTCGAGCTGAGCCGACTTTATTTACCCTACACCACTCTTCATATATAGTAGAGCAAATAAACGCTTTTATGGAGAATTTACGAGAATTAAAACATACCAAATATAATCGTATTTGAATGCGTATTATTCATCAAATTCCATATTATGTGAGCTGATATTACACTTTTTAGACACATTACATGTGAAATCGGATAAAGATATATATTGTAACTATATCCAAATCTGAACCGATCACTATAAAATTTAGCAGAGGTATTTCTATGCTGTATCTGATAGTTGGCACCAAATATCGTTGTTGTGGAGAGTATTTTACGGGCGTGAGGGAGTAAAATACAAAATCAAATGAAACATATATACGGGACCTATAGCTATATCTTAACCGATTTTTACCAAATTTCATACACTTTCTTCCAGGCTAAATTCGTTAGTATGTCCATTCAATTCAGGATTATATTAACCATTTTATGACCAATAAACTTGAAATCGAGTAAAGATAAAATTAGTCAAAAGTATTTCTGAGATGTATCTGATATATTTCTCCGAGTATGGTTGTTATTGATTGCATATTTCGGCTATGGAGGAGAAATTTAACAAATCGAATGAAGAATATATATGGGAGCTATAGCTTTATCTGAAACAATTTTGATCAAATTTGGCCTACTTATTTCCAAGTCATATTTGGTCGTACGTACAAAATATATGAGAACATATATATGGGAACTATATATATATTTAGACCGATTATCTCCAATTTCAATAGGATTCGTCCTTGGGCCAAACAAACCATTGGTGTAAAATATCATCTCGATCGGGGAATAAATACATGAACAGACGAACGTGCATTAATCGACTCAGAATGTGATTCTATGCAGATCGTCAAAAGGAAATATGGGTCTAAATTGCTTCCTTCTCTATGTTACAAACAAATGAACAAAGACATAATACCCACAGTGTGGTGTAGGGCATAAAAATCATAACTAAACATATTTTGGTTCGATGCACATTGAACGAAGGGATTTGTACGTAGTTATTCCCCAAAAAGCAAAACCCAACTAACAAACCTGCACAACAAAGTAGATAACTTCAATCTTGTTTCTTTTTTTCAATTCAATACAGATAGTGGAAGAAAAAAGTAATATTCTTACTGGTCTTGTAAAAAAAATCGAACTTTACTGCAATGTTACAAGCATTTGTTTTAAACCATATTCTTGAATAAAAAACGGAGTGCATTAATTTTGTATTCGCAGCTAAATACAAATTAGAAGAAAACGTCCAGCAAATATGGCAAATATGAGAATTTTAGACTAGTTCCAGTGCTTCGTGAAATGACATTTTTGGTACCTCCTTTTTTCTTAAATTTTGAATTGATAGCTTGTCACACTTACTTCTATGGCAAATTCTCTACACTTACAGTTCGGATATCAAAAGGATATAGTTAGAATTCAATACTATTTTCACCTTTCAATGAAAAAAACGAGTATAGTTCTAAATATGCAAAATAAATAATTGATACTATTTACAATTAATTGACAAACAATAAAAAAACTGCGGCTTTGTCAAATATTTAAATAGAGTTTTTCTGAGGTTTTAAATAATTGAAACATAAAATACCATTTCGCAACAAACATTAGTGGCATTTTTCACTTAAAATATTTGTTACGATACAGCAGCATCAAACAACAACAATAACAAAAATTAAATATTTATCCAAAGTGAAGCAACTCAAACATACAATTCGGTTTTGTTCGTCTACCTAGGACCACCAACCAAATACATCCAAATTTTGGTGGTAATTAACAGTTTTACACAACAATGTGACGAAGAGTGGGTCTCTTCTGGGTGGCTTGCAACATCGCCCGCTCGCTGTGTGAAGTAGAACATGGGAAAACATGTGAAATTATTGAAGATAAAAACCAACAAACAATATGACATGTACACATATTCATGTGCGGAGCTTTATGTCCGCATGTTTACCAGGCCTTGTCATGCAATTATTTCAATACACTCAGCCTTTCGGAGATACAGAATGACAAAAGTAGAGGAAGAGAGAGAGAGAGATTACATCCCTTTGAATTTGGTCACAATTAAATTCTCATTATACAATCATGCATCCACATTCAGCCATCCAACAAAGCCGATACAATGGCATATTTTGGTTTATTTCGCCCAAGCCACCGCCCCCCACTACAACTCGTCATACCAAAATATACAATCACGGACACCAATCGCGTGCATTTAATTAATTAAAATATTAAATTATTATTACTATGCTGATGGGTGAGTGGTACACACAATCATACCTTCGTCTGGCTGTCGGCCTGTCTGTCTGTTGTTAGGCCCACAAGAATGTCTTTCATGGCGAAACAGTCATCGGCCAGCAACAAATCTTAATGGGTATATATGAAAACTACCTCGTTGGTGTTGCGCCACATAACTAACCGACTAAGAGCCAATAAAACGGACTTCCGTTTCTGCTGACACAATCGACGAAACATTGACTGTCGTGGAGCATTTTTTTTTAATAAACTTGAACTCGAATCATAACACTTTCACCAATCACTCTTCTCCTTCTGAGTAGATTTTGTAACTTTTACAGAATTTGGAAATCCTAATGGGTAATAAAAATAAGTTTCGGTAAAATTCACTCCTCAGAAAATCTATGCAGTATCATCATTTTTAGAATTAAGGGGAAACATAGAAATTCTAACTGAATTTCTATAAAAAATAATATAAAAAGACCCAGGTATTTTAGCCCAATGTAACGCTTGGTTTTTATTTTAAAGGCAGCCATTGCAGACTAAGTGGTTTAGTATGTAAAAATGTTAGCGAATCTGCAACGCTAGCAATTCAAAACCTAGAAAAACCAAATTATGTATGTGCCTGTGTCGTAATGGGCATTTCCATTTATCCAATATGCACGAATGGAAGTAGTAGTAGTTCGTGGGTAATTATTGGAATTTTGTCACTTGCACTTATCCCAATCGATCGCCAATGAATGTCTTTATATGGCCATTTGTGTAATGTCATTAAATGTGCTGGGCATATCCAATGCGCTAATAATTGTTCATTTTTCACAGGCACGTAGAGCATAAATGTCCGACACACAATCGAAGCCAAAGCCAAGTAAATGACCTTTTGCTAAAAGCCAAAATAAGAAAATAAAACCATGTAATTAGCATTGATGTGGGACCCAAATCGCCGAAGACCAAAATCACAGCTCCATTTATTTTGATTAATTGAAATGATATATTTCGCCAGGGGTACAAATCAATATAAATGACAACAAATGTAATTACAATTGGTGGCATACCTAATTAAGGTAATTTATGTACTGTAGACAAACTGCTTTGT